ACCGTCGTTCTAAGCAAATAAGATGTAAAAACATGATAAACATCACATGCAATCAAATAGTGACATGATATGGCCATCTTCACTTTACTCCTTTTGATCTCCATCTACGGGGCTCCATGATCATCATCGTCACTGGCATGACACCATGATCTCCATCATCATGATCTCCATCATCGTGTCTTCATGAAGTTGTCTCGCCAACTATTACTTTTACTACTACAGCTAATGGTTAGCAATAAAGTAAAGTAATTACATGACGTTTATGTTGACACGCAGGTCATAAATAAATTAAGACAACTCCTATGGCTCCTGCCGGTTGTCATATTCATCGACATGCAAGTCGTGATTCCTATTACAAGAAGATGATCATCTCATACACCACATATATCATTCATCACATCCTTTGGCCATATCACATCACAAAACACTTGCTGCAAAAACAAGTTAGACGTCCTCTAATTGTTGTTGCAAGTTTTTACGTGGATGCTATAGGTTGCTAGCAAGAACGTTTCTTACCTACGCCAAAACCACAACGTGAATTGCCAATTTCTATTTACCCTTCATAAGGACCCTGTTCATCGAATCCGATCCGACTAAAGTGGGAGAGACAGACACTCGCCAGCCACCTTATGCAACTAGTGCATGTCAGTCGGTGGAACCAGTCTCACGTAAGCGTACGTGTAAGGTCGGTCCGGGCCGCTTCATCCCACAATGCCACCGAATCAAGATAAGACTAGTAACGGCAAGTAAATTGACAAAATCGACGCCCACAACTACTTTGTGTTCTACTCGTGCATAGAAACTACGCATAAATCTGGCTCTGATACCACTATTAGGGAATGTAGCAGAAATTCAAAATTTTCTACGCAACACCAAGATCAATCTATGGAGTAATCTAGCAACGAGGGAAGGAGAGTGCATCTACATACCCTTGTAGATCGCTAAGCGGAAGCGTTCAAGTGAACGGGGTTGATGGAGTCGTACTTGTCGTGACCCAAATCACCGATGATCCTAGTGCCGAACGGACGGCACCTCCGTGTTCAACACACATGCAGCCCGGTGACGTCTCCCACGCCTTGATCCAGCAAGGGGAGAAGGAGAGGTTGGGGAAGACTCCGTCCAGCAGCAGCACGACGGCGTGGTGGTGGTGGAGGAGCGCGATACTCCAGCAGGGCTTCGCCAAGCACTACGAGAGACGAGGAGGGAGAGGGGTAGGGCTGCGCCAACAGGAGAAGAACTTCGTGTGTTGGGATGCCCCTTTGCCTCCACTATATATAGGGGGAGAGGGAGGGCTGCGCCCCCACCTAGGGTTCCCACCCTAGGGGTGGCGGCAGCTCCAATCCCATCTGGGGTGGCGGCCACAAGGGGGAGAGGGGGAGGCGTACCTGGGGTGGGCCTTAGGGCCCATCTGCCCTAGGGTTTGCCCCCTTTCCCTCTTGGAGGCACCTTGGGCCTTGGTGGGAGGCGCCCCAGCCCACCTAGGGGTTGGTCCCTTCCCACTATTGGCCCATGTAGGCCTCCGGGGCTGGTGGACCCTTCCGCTGGACCCCCGGACCCCTCCGGTGGTCCCGGTACACTACCGGTGATGCCCGGAACACTTCCGGTGGCCAAAACCGTACTTCCTATATATAAATTTTTACCTCCGGACCATTCTGGAACTCCTCGTAACGTCTGAGATCTCATCCGGGACTCCGAACAACATTCGGTAACCACGTACATCTATTCCCTATAACCCTAGCGTCACCGAACCTTAAGTGTGTAGACCCTACGGGTTCGGGAACCATGTAGACATGACCGAGACACCTCTCCGGCCAATAACCAACAACGGAATATGGATACCCATGTTGGCTCCCACATGTTCCACGATGATCTCATCGGATGAACCACGATGTCAAGGATTTAATCAATCCCGTATTCAATTCCCTTTGTCTAGCGGTATTGTACTTGCCCGAGATTCGATCGTCGGTATCCGATACCTTGTTCAATCTCGTTACTGGCAAGTCTCTTTACTCGTTCTGTAACACATCATCCCGTGATCAACTCCTTGGTCACATTGCGCATATGATGATGTCCTACCGAGTGGGCCCAGAGATACCTCTCTGTCACACGGAGTGACAAATCCCAGTCTCGATTCGTGCCAACCCAACAGACACTTTCGGAGATACCCGTAGTGTACCTTTATAGCCACCCAGTTACGCTGTAACGTTTGGCACACCCAAAGCATTCCTACGGTATCCGGGAGTTGCACAATCTCATGGTCTAAGGAAATGATACTTGACATTAGAAAAGCTTTAGCATACGAACTACACGATCTTTGTGCTAGGCTTAGGATTGGGTTTTGTCCATCACATGATTCTCCTAATGATGTGATCCCGTTATCAACGACATCCAATGTCCATGGTCAGGAAACCGTAACCATCTATTGATCAATGAGCTAGTCAACTAGAGGCTTACTAGGGACATGGTGTTGTCTATGTATCCACACATGTATCTGAGTTTCCTATCAATACAATTATAGCATGGATAATAAACGATTATCATGAACAAGGAAATATAATAATAACGAATTTGTTATTGCCTCTAGAGCATATTTCCAACAAAGATCGCCCAATTTAGGCCTATCAATTTATGTAATGTGGTTTATAAGGTGATCTAAAAAATGCTCGCAGCACGCCTGAAGGTTTTTATTCCAGATATAATCATTGAGACACAAAGTGCGTTTGTGCCAGGGAGCATCATAACTGATAACGTCATAGTGGCATATGAGTGCTTACATACGATGAAGAAGAGAAAGAAGGGGAAGTTTGGAACATGTGCAATCAACTTAGATATGCACAAGGCATATGACAGAGTTGAGTGGGTATTCTTGGAGGCCATGCTCACCAAATTGGGATTTCATGCTTAGTGGATTCAAATGGTGATGACTTGCATAAGGTCGGTTGAGTATAAGGTTCGGTTCAACTTAAATGAAACGTTGCCTTTTTCACCTACGAGAGGTTTGAGACAGGGGGGATCCCCTCTCCCCATATCTGTTTCTCTTATGTGCTGAAGGACTGTCGGCCCTTATTGCTCATGAGGAGGAGGCTGGTAACTTGAATGATGTGCAGGTGTGTAGAGATTCGCCAACGATTTCTCATTTACTTTTTGCTGACGATTCTCTTATTTTCATGAGAGCAGATGCCCACAATGCAAGCACCCTGCGTGGGATTTTAGATGAGTACTGTGCAGCCTCAGGTCAATTGGTGAGTGAATCAAAATGCTCTATATTTTTCAGTCCTAACACAAATGTGGAGGTGAAGGCAGAAGTATGTCAAAATTGAATATTATGACAGAGTCTATTTCAGACAAATATTTGGGTCTACCATCCATGATAGGTGGACCGTGTTGACTGCTTTAAACACATAATAGAAAGAATTCAAGCAATGGTGAATGGATGGAAAGAGAGAACTCTCTCATTCGGAGGCAAAGAGGCTTTGCTGAAAGCGGTGGCCCAAGCCATCCCAACTTATGCGATGGGCGTATTTAAATTCCCGAAGAAAATTTGCAAGTGAATCACTGATGCAATGTCGCAATATTGGTGGGGTGATGAGGAGGACAATGAAGGATGCATTGGTTTGCATGGTGGAAGATGTGTATTCCGAAGGAGAGAGGAGGTATGGGATTCCGGGATATTCATAGCTTTAACTTGGCAATGTTGGCAAAGTAGTGTTGGAGACTAATTGAGAACTTTGGTTCATTATGTGCACGAGTTCTGAGAGCCAAGTACTACCCTACAGGAGATATTCTGAATTGTCAACTGAAGAATGGGTCGTCCTATGTGTGGCAAAGCATTTGGTCTGGAATTCAAATGTTCAAGAAGGGTTACATTTGGAGAGTAGGCAATGGAGAAAAGATTAATATATGAGATGACTGTTGGATCCCGAATAGTGCCACCAAAAAAGTTTTAACAGTAAGGGAGAACCAAGTACTTACTAAAGTGACTGAGTTAATTGACCCAATCACGGGAGAATGGGATGAGATGTTAATCCGGGAGAATTTCTGGCACATTGATGCTGAACGCATACTACAAAATCCCAATATTCCATGTGGAGATAGAGGACTATGTTGCATGGCATCTCACGAGGAGCGGCGTTTTTTCAGTACGTTCTGCCTATTATAAGCAATGGGAAATGAATTATGATACAGATGACAGCGGTATGGCCCGCTTCTCCATGGCGCCCCATCCAGTTTGGAAGAAGTTGTGGAGTTTGAGAGTGCCAGCGAAAGTTAAAATTTATATCTGGAGATGCTTGCACAATGCCATCCCATGCCGGAGTACTCTTATGAATCGCCATGTTGGAAACTTGTCCCAATGCACATACTGTACAGATGGTGCAGAGGGCTTAGCACATATGTTGTTTAAGTGTGCAAGGGTGCAAGCAGTTTGGGAAGCTTTGGGAATCGCAACAGATATTAACTTTGCTTCATTGACTGATCGAGCACGTTCAACAGTCTTGGAGTTCATTTTATGTGATGATTATTATCGGTGACAATATTCTAGATTGGTCGAGGTACCAGAGCTCATATCAACAGTTTGTTGGTTCTTATGGTGGCAAAGAAGACAGTTCGTGCGAGGGGAAGAAATATTGACTCCAGAACGAACAACGCTGGAGGTGGTTGCCCTAGTGATTAATTATGTGCGCGGAGCACGAGCTAAATCTACACCCAAGATCAACTGGTGGCCGACGTTCCTAGCAGGACAACTTGTCGTTAATGTCGATGCTTCATTCACAGAAGGCGATTATGTAGGGTCTTGTGGTGCTGTCATCCATGATCACCGGGGATCTTTCATGTCGGCGTCCACGGCGAGATTAGAACATGTAGCTGATGTGTTCACGGCAGAAGCGGCAGCTCTGCTTGAAGGACTGAAGCTAGCAAGAGATACGGGATGCAATAACTTGATGATGAGATCGAATAATATCACGGTAGTGGTTGCACTTAGATTCAATGAAGGTTATTCTATGGTGGCATCGACGGTTTTTGATGGATGTCGTAGTTATCTAGTAGATTTCGGGAGATTTACTATTGAGCATTGTATTAGAGAGTCAAATTATGTAGCTCATGAGTTGGCTAGATGGGAACGTGCTAATAATCCATCTCGTTGGATTGATGCCCCACCTGATTTCATTGTGAGTTTGCTGGCAGACGATATATCCGTCCTTTGACTAATAAAGTAAGCTTTTCCGTCAAAAAAAAAGAAAACCTAAAAAACAGAGAAAGTAAGCGAAAAAAAGAAACCAAAAATAGAAGAAGAAAAATGAAAAGAAATGATCACGAGCAGAAAATAGCGAGTCACTGAACGGTTCATGCGTCACCAGCGAGTGAAGCAAAAAAACAGGAAACGGGCCAGCCTAGTTGCTTCGTGAGGAACTATTCCCTTCAAGCGATAGCGGGCACTGCTATGTCTCGTGCGAGTATATGGGCCGCAAACATTTCGCGGTAGGTACACTGCGTCGTTTTCATTTCTGTTTTTCTTCATGTTTTTATTTCATTTTTTTAGTTTTGTTTACAATTTTAAATATTCTAAACATATATATTACCAAATTTTGCTTCACATCATATTTTAAAAATGTTAATCATGCATTGAATGTTTTTGAATGTGTATACAAAAAACATTGACCATGTATTAAAAAATGATAAAATTTATTGATCAAGTATATAAAAATGTTAATCAAACATTTAAAAAAGATGTAGAATGAGTATTTGCAAACTGTTGAAAAAGTATTTGAAAAATGTTTAATAAGTTTAAAAAATGTTGAACAAGTATTTGAAAATTATTGAACAAGCGTTTTGACAATGCTGAACGTGTATACAAAAAATGTCGATCACTTACTAAAAAATAATCAAGTTAATCAAGCATTTGAAAAAAAATGTTGAACAAGTATTTGAAAAATGTTGATCAAACTTTTGAACAATGTTAAATGTGTATAGAAAAAATGTTGACACAATAAAGCCTTTAGTGCCAAACAAGTTGGTGTAGGCTAGTGGTCAAATCCATAATATCTAGCAACCAACTCATGGTTCTATCATATGGATAGCACACGTTCACGCACCCCTGCCCATGACTAGATCTCTTGTGATACTCCGGTCCTTCATAGCCCTCTTTATGGATTCTTTCCATGTTAAGTTTGGTCTACCTCGACCTCTCTTGACATTATCGGCACACTTTTGTCGTCTGCTATGCACTAGCGCTTCTGAAGGCCTACACTGAATATGCCCAAACCATCTCAGACGATGTCGGACAACCTTCTCTTCAATTGGCGCCACTCCAACTCCATTTCTTGAACAAAATAATCAAGCATTTGAAACTTCTTGAAGGATCAGTTGCTGCTGCTGACGTTGAAGATATTCCGGCCACCTCCGAAACAGAAATTTCTTCGGGCCATGCCTCAGAGTGAATCATATTCACATATTTTCGCACTCATGTCATTTGTCACTTTTTGACACTAGTTGACAAAAGGGGGAGAATTACATCGAGAGTTTTGATAGATCTGCTTTGTTTTGCTCTATTGGTTTTGGTGTTGAGACTTTTGCGCTGTTCGCCTCAAAGACTTTTATGTCTCACCTTGTGCTCTGATGTAAAACTTCTGATTGGTATGTAATATTAATAACCCGCCTGCTGCACTATTTCCTCTCGAAGCATTTTGTTTTGCAGGTGGAATTATTAACATGAGTCTTGTATGATTGCACTATATTCTCGTTGGATTATTTCATTAGTGCGAATCATCACCTCGAATGATTGAAAATCCTCCAAATAAGTTCATGAATTGCAGTGCATATTGTCAAATATCATAAACCCTACATACATCTAGGGGGAGTATATTTCATCATCGAGACAAGTAACGCAACTTCACTCTTGTTCATATTTTCATTTCACTTATCTATCTTCACTTCGATGATTATCTGTTTTGTCAACAACCGTCCAAAAAGGGGGAGATTGTTGATGCAATAATAGGCCCCTTGTGTTTTGGAGTTTGTTGACATAAACATTATGTGACCTATATGTTTGCTAGTGCACACAGAGTAACAGGTCCCTGATGTATCGAGGAGTTTGTTGCAAACAACGAAGATAACCTCCCTGCGTGGCAGCGAAGATTATCACCGAAGATAAAAGCTAACAAGAGTGACCCCTAAAAATTGCTGAATTTCAAGCAATTGGTCCGGTGCCTGTCCGAAGAACATGACTGCGCTCGAGGAAGAATGAAGACGAAGTAAAGACGTAGCATTTGTTTCGTCATTCTTCTTCTTTCATTGAGTCATAGGACTACCGTACTATTAAGAGGGGTGTAGCGTTCGTAGCTTTGATTCTCTGATGCTAAACCAAACCTATGAAAGCTGTGAGAGAGATCTCTTTGTGTTCCGAGCAAATACTTGCCAGCAAGAGACTGTGATCTTCTTCGCTGCAAGAGATTTGTCTCGGACCGAGGAGTTAGCATTACTTTTTCCTCAAGTAATGTTACTGTTGCTTCAAAAATCCGACCGTTGTGAATGCGTCGATTGGCCATTGGCTGGACCTAGTGTCCAAAATGTTCATTTCCCTTCTGGGAAGGCCGTGGCTATAAATAGCCATCCTGCACCGGCTTTGTCTGGTGGCTGCTCCATTTGATTCTGAGAAGATTTTTAAGCAACCCACTTTCTGAGCGATTTGAGTTTAAAATCCACCGAAAGAAAACCCCTAGAGCCGAAGAATTAGATAGTGGTTCAGCATCACTGGAATCTTAGTTTAGTACGCTCCGCCTATTACTCTTGAGAGTTGCAAACTCTCTAAACGGTTAGGTGTCAATTTCTTCAGAGACCAAGAGTGATTGTGGTTCTCGAAGAAGAAGTCTGTAAAGGTTCGGAGATAGCCTTCAATTATCTACTACGAGTGATCGGCATCGGTTGACGAATCGATTGTCGAGGAGAATAGGGTGAAGAGAGTTTATCTTCCGTGTTAAGTGACAGCCCCTCCAACCATACGTGGTCCTTGTGCAGAAGGACGAACTGGTCAAACAAATCCTTTGTCGCCTTCAAGCATCACCGGTCTTTTCTCTCACCCTGTTTACCATCGATGCATTTAGCTCACGTAATCTGTTATGATGCCTAGTCTAGTTTTCCTTCGGTACTTAGTTTTACTTCGCCGTTGCTTAATTCATTCCACTGCTAGGTTTTGAGGGTTTCAAGTTTTTCCAAAGAAAATTTAAAACTCCCATTCACCCCCCTCAATTAGACATACTTCGGTGCTACAGAATGCACAAGCTATGACGACTTGGTTGGCCCACTTGTAAAAACCGACTGCAAAGATTCCCAAAAAGCATTGCTGTCGCGAGGAATCGAACCCTAGCAGCTTACTAAGTTGGCTGCCGTTATCCTAGACGCTCATGGCGTCCAATAGCGTGTGGAACGCATAGGCGATAACGACTGGGTCGCCCCACTGGTAAACACCGAATGCAAAAAAATTCCCAAAAAGCACAGGAATCAAACCCTCAAACTCCCTGTACACCAGGCATGCTAGTTGCCACCATAGTTTTCCCGCAAAAAAAAGTAGGCACCGTAGTTGATGTTGTTTGTTGACTTGCTGCACCGTGAAATTTTTAAGTGCTCACAGGCAGCGGGGTATTAACTGTAGCACACATATGTACTGTAGCATTTTAATTTTTGAATTACTTTGAACACATTTTGGAAAGACAATTATTTGCAAAAATGTGAACAAAGTTGAAATTGCAAAACCATTTTACAAAGACAAGAATAAAATTTGGAATTTCGACCATTTTAAAAAATAATTGTGAACATTATTTGAAAAACAAGAATAAAATTTCTAAACGTGATATTTGTAAGTTTCAAAAATATTTTATTTTTTTTGGAAAAAAGTGAACAAATTTTGGAATCCTTAACGTTATTTGAAAAGAAATTTGTGAAAATCCAAACATTTTCTGAAAATGCGAACATTTTTTGAGTTTGCGAGGAAAATTTGTAAATGAGACATCTTTTGACATTCTGAACAATTTTTGAAAAAACTTGAGTAGTTTTCGAACTTCTCGTAACAATTTTTGAATTTATGATTTTAACATTTTAAGAAAACAAACATCTTTTGAAATTTCTGAACTAAAAAAACAAGATCATTTTTTTAATAAGAAAAAAGGAAATAAAATCGAAAAAGAAGCAGGAAAAATTAAAATTTAAAAGAAAAATAGAAAAAAAGGAAGAAACCTGAAATACAGATAAAAGAAACAAAAAACCGCCTGCCTGTGTATGCTAAAATGGGCCGGTCTCAGTCTTGCCCTGGTTGGCTTATACGGAGTTTGCACTTTCCTTTTGGGCTTGTAGTTGGCGGATGACGAATAAACAAATACTCATAGCTTATATAGTTGGGTTGCTTTGCCAAAGATATGTGTGATTATATTTGGGAGGAATGTAACAAAAATATATTTATTTTTAAGAGGCATGCTTCCAGCTCCAATATTCATGCTACCCAAAATACATATCCACCTGATGTATTCATAGAGTTAAATTTAAACCAATAGAGATGTAACATTTTGTACTGTCAAATATTTGTTTCCAATGCCTTCGTATCAATGCTACTTTTGAGACTAAATTCATGTATTGGCTCTCTCAAGTATGTTATCTCTCTCGCCCCCCTCATGTTTAAATCCTGGCTCCGCCCCTTACTCCCACTACGAACAACCATGCATGTGAGGCTGGAGCAATGCAAAAGCATTTGTGCTGCACACAGCTGCAAAAATCCGACACAATTTAGAGCATCTCTAGCACACCTCGCATCCCGCCCCGACCCGCAAAATAACCGCCAAAATACGGGTCGGGACGAGAAAACCTGCCCGATCAGACCCTGTATCCCGCCCCGACCCGCAAAATTTTTTGAGAGGCGCGGCAAAATCTCGGCCCCAACCCGCGAATACATAGGTTTCTCCCTTGCCGCTGCGGTGCCCTGCATATAAGCGGAAGCGGTTGGTGGGGGACATTTCAGCCCGCGCTTTCTCCACCAACCATCTCCCCTCTCCACATCGCGCCGCCGCCGGGCCGCCGCCCAAGATTCCAGCAAAAGCAGTCGACAGGAGCCCGCCGAAAGGTCGCCACATGCACGAAGCCTCCCATCTCTCCCCCCCTGCATCGGCGGGTCGCCGGATTTGCGGATCTGTGGCACTTCATCGTGGGCCGCCGGATTTGG